ATTTTTCAAGAACATCGATATCGAACAAAATTGTTATTTTCATAAGCTTCAATTTTGTTTGTAATTTTTTTTTTTTTTCAGAGCTCTTTGGGAAGATTTGGGAGCTTAAAAAGTTTCCCCGACATTGCTGGTGATGGTGTTTAATAATTCTCCTTTTTCTGAAAATAAAATTAGAGAAAGAAAAAAAAAATAGAAAACTCACTTGTATAAATTCTCAAATGTCATAAAATAAATGGATCCATATTCTGAATCTCATCTATGAAGCTATACCAAATAAATCATACAACTATTGAACATATTACAAGTCAAACAGATAGGATCGTACTTTGAATTTAAGTGATGAGCAACAGAAAATCCAATCCAATTCATGCGATGGTTTGGTTTCAAGGTCAGAAGTTGCTGTCTGGTTTCAACAAAGCCTTTCAAGTCTCTCATTTGGGCCTGCAAAATTAAAGGTAAAAAATGAGCCAAAAACATATGCCCAAAACATCAAATAATAAAGAAAATGATTGCATCATAACGATAAAGTAATTAAGATTAAACACATCAAATAAAGATCACCAGAACGTGGTCCAATATGCATGTTCCAGATCAGGAAACTAAGGAAGAAAGAATCTCTAAAAAGTACATATAAAATGAGATTAGATGCATTAAGAGGGCAAGAAGGAAGATATAGAGAAAGGCTAAAAGATAAGACATTACATTAGCCATACTAATTTCCCCCCTCCCCCTAATAAAATGATGAACTGATCCTGAGGCTATGTTTCAAATGAAAAAAAGATTTTGTGCATGATAATCTGTCAAATTGGTCCAACCGTTCTTACTCCAATTTGTTGCAACTCCCAACTGAAAATCAACTTTTCTCTAAATAGACCAAGCCTCTAGCACCCAATTCAAACTATTTTCTTCATTCCTTCTTATCACCACCTATGCTATATTTTCTATTAGCTCTGAGTCTGTACGTTACTTCACCACAAACTTATGCTCTATTTATACGGCCATAGCAGTGCCATCTACATCTAAGTCAGCAGAAAGTGTAAGAGTCACCAAGTCAACAGTTAGCCACAAATTTTAGGACAGAGAAGTTCAGTGGGTGGTTTTCCCAGTGACTAATATTGCATACAGCTAAAAGAAAACTCTGCTTGAGATAGTTCAAAGTCCTACTGTCAGAGGTTTGGTGCTGTTTAGTAATACTTATAACAATGAACAAACTTTCCTAATAGTAACCTAAATTGGATCATTAGTTCCTGTAAATTTCACATCAATGTAATAGTTTCTCGGTTTCAAATAAATGGTCTTGTAAATTTATAATTGTTAATAGCTCAAAGTATCATCCAAAAATTCACCGCAAAGAAGTATATTATCAAGATTCAGATTTAACGAATGATATTTCCATGTTGCACAAATATAATGCAGAAAACCACAGGTTAAAAGAACAAGATATAGTTCAAACCTGTAGAAGTGACAGATCACGTAAAATTTCAATATTGTCAGGATCTATTTTCAGGGCATTCCGGTAACATTTAATTGCCTCTCTGTATTCTCTATCTGAACGATATAAGAGACCATAGACATGCCAGCAAACATGACTTTTTAGGTCATTCTGCATCAAAACAAGAACTTAGATGACCAGGAACTATGATACAAATCAGCTATTATGAAAACAATGAATTTCGAGTATGATGAAAAAATGCACAAACCTTCAATCCTAATCGAACGAGTTCATATGCTTCAGGCTTACGATCCATACAATTCAACGTTAACCCCTTCATGGATAGAGTTTCTGAAATTGTGTAGAAATAAGAAATATTAAAGATAGTAAAAGAGGGGGAGGGGGTGGAAAAGAAATAACAAATATAAGACTGGTACAACGTTTTAACACGAATGCCAGATACAAATTCGAATTGAATAATCATTAACTAAGAGTTGGAACTACCTCCATGTTCGGGAAACTTCTTCAATATTTGATCAGCTGCTTTCAGGCCCTTCTTGTACTGTTTTGTTTCGTATGATTTCTACAATAGATAATAACAAAAAACACAAAACTCAATTAACCATTGAAACAGCCTCTCCAAATATTGACCAATAACACAGCTGATGAATATCATATCGACAAAAAACCGACCAAATCACGTTATTCTTATCCACTGAAGTAGTACGCAACCCAATTAAAATTAAAAGTAGCTTACTTATTCACTAGTTCCTATGAAACAAAAATGCAATCAAAGAATGTCCAAATTCTCCTCCAATCCCCACATTCCTCAATGAAAGAACATACAAAACTAGCCGAAAGTTCAGCAAGAAAAATCTAGGGTTTGTCCAATGAAAAGAAGAAGAAGAAAGAGGGGTACAACTATTTAACTTCGATCGAAGTATGATTAAAGTGATGATGAAGCACATAGAAAAGAATCGATAAACTTACGACGATGAGCTTGAAGAGGTTGGCCTCCTTGGGTGGAAGTGACGCACCCATTGTTGCAGAGAAAGAAGGAGAAACAGAGGAAATGGAGGAGAGTGAAAATGAAGTGAAAAAATAAGAACTTTAAGCTTTGTATGTTGAGAGTTTATAGAGACAGGTGCGTTGTGGAGTGGTGGCGTTTATCTGCTGCAACCCTACGGGGAAGAAGAAGGGGAAAAAATATATTATTAATAATAAATAATGGAATTTTGGGAAATTTAATTTATATACCCAATATTGTAATTTACATTGCAATGCGCGCGTGAACTTCCCCGGAAATTTCGGGTTCAAGAAAAAAAAAATCAATAAATAATCTTTCCCCTTTTGTCTTTTTTTTTTCTTTTTTTTGTCAAAAATGAATATTCTTTAAATTTTATTTTAAATTACTATATTTTTTAGGATTCGCACATATGAAATTCCTTAATTTTTCTCCATCTCTTTGAAAAAATAATATTTTCAAAATAATATTAATAATTTTCATTTCCTAATATAATTTCTATTGAAAACTTAAAAATAATAATAATAAATTTGAAGTCGTTTATTTATTTTACAATGTATTTGAAACAATATTTCTCGTGCTTAAAAATACTTTTATCAATTACTTAGAAAACTACTTTAAATCGATTCGTTAAATTCAACGTCAAGACATGTTTGAAGCTCATTCTCTAAACAGCGCGGGTTCAAGCTTTCAGGTTATTTAAGTAGATTGGGTGATAGATCGGTTGTAACAGTATTTCGTGATATAAACTAGGACAACAAATGTCGAGCATACGACGATGCTGCCTGTTTTTCATTTCGTGGAAATTCATGCCATGGGAAAGAAAGGGTTGTCGATGATCATGCGTTATGCTTCTTATCTAGAGAGAGAATAAGTAGCGAGAGAAAATGAGAGTTTTATAGTAATCCTCGATAGCCCACTTCATAGATTTCAAAGGAGATTAGCACTTACAGGAAGAACTAAGGTACAAATACCAATATATCACCTTTGGCGTGCATATCAAAGGCAGCCAAATGATAGTCTACATCCTGCAGATGGTCGGGCGGATCGAGCCTGAGCGATCTCCTGCTCGTTTTTGCTTTAAATGTGAAGCCTTTTTGGTTAGTTTCTGAGGTTTCTTCGATGGTGACGGAATAATTGCATCCATGCATCGTGTTACAATCACACTCTTGCGGCAGCATGACAATGATGGTACAGTACTTATTCGAATCTAACGAACAAGTCAGGCGTGAGAAATTCGAACTTTGCGGACAACGTCAGCGTATACTCGAGCATCGAATTACGTTTGCGATAAAATGTTTTAGAAAACGTGAATGAGGAAATACGTTGAAAACAATTTGAAATAAAGCAATGTTATAAGTTAAAGCGATTGGGCAACAACAATAGTTTGATAGCATATAACCCGGGTAGGAAGAAGTGACAACCAGTCATACTCCCAGTACATTTTGGGAACTTTAGTCTTGAGATGTAGACATGATTTTGGCGAACACTCATACTCTCTTATATTGACACAACATGAAGTAGTAAAAGTCTATCTAAGATGAAAGCATGTACAAAAGGTTTGGAACGAGCATACGGCTATGGACAACATGTTTTGGACAAGTATGATCGAGACATTCGACATGTGATCATAGACAACACATTTTGGACAAACATAACCGTGACACATCACACAAATTTAATGGAAAAGAATGATGAAAAATTCAAAAATGTTGTTTCGATTGGTACAAAAGCATTAAAACATAGAGAAAATAGGAGGCATGCAGAAAAATGATAGACGTGACTTCTGAGTGTCGAGAGTCATGACACCGACCCAGATCACATAGCCATTGTATATGTAATTGCTACCCATGATGAAATCCTACGGTACAAGCACATAGGTAATGGACATGATGCTTCTTTCTTTTTACCCTAATTCGAGTACGACTCAGATTGACTTTGACCACTAATTATTTTTAGGCTCTCAAACGAATTAAAATTTAGATATACACGAAGTAGTTGGTAGATTAATCTAATGAAATGTTGTCGTCTAAGCATTTTTAGAAGGTTCGTACCTTATCGAGTCTAAGAATTTGAAGTATAATTTGTATTTAGTCTATATTTTTCAAAATATTACATTTTTTCCCGAACTTTTTCCTTTGAGTTTTCATTATTTACACTTGCTTTGGGTGGTTGGTATTGACTTTTGGTTAATTAATTTAAATATTATGATGTAATTTTTTAAATTAATCCCGATGAAAAAATTAACGATATTGAACTAATTTAAAAGAATTAAATTAATCAATAAAAAAATTTCATAAATGACGGGGCAATTATGTAAAATTATAAAATTTAGGACATAAATTTTATAATTCAAAATTAAGAATAAAAATGTAAAATTATAAAATTTAGGACATAAATTCAGATTTTAAAAGTAAAAATATAATATTTTAAAAGAAAATGAAAGCTATATTCAAAATTCATCAACAATTATATTATTATTATGATTATTTTATTATAAAATTATTTTGGCAACCAACGTAATTTCATTGAAATACGTCTGCCAAAGAGTCAAGGAGGAAAATTTGAAGGACCTCATCTGCAAAACATTAAAATACGGAAAAATAATACGAACTTTTCGCGCCTTTGGTTTACTTTCGAATTCTGCAGTCTCCAATTCCATAGGGTTCGATCCAGAGACTGAAGAGTGCAACAATGGTGGACGAAGAAGCTCGAATCTCTGTTGTGATCGATCCTCTTGCTGCTTATTCTGGTATCTATCTCTTTCCGAGCGCATTTGGCACTTTTCCGGATCCGTCGAAGCCACATGGTATTGGAACCGACCTTGACGCCATCCACAACCACCTCAAATCCATGGTATTTGTATCTTTCCATACTCGTTGTATATGATGCTTCCAATTCATCGCTTTTTTGATTTGTGCCATTTTCTGCTTGTTCAACGAGCTCCGTGCGCAATTGAGGGATGAATTGAAATTCATGTTCTGTTCCCATATTTTCAGTAAGTATCTCAGAGCGTGGCGTGGTTTTCCTTTTGAATCGATGGTTCTGGTTACTGTCGAAAGTGTGAGGCATTGAAATGTTTTTTTGGCTTTGCGTGTGATGGTTTATTCTTTCCTTAAAATTAAATGCACCGCCTGCTTTGGTTTTTAATGGTAAGCTGGTTAGCCCATTTGATTTGTGAACTGGATTTGTTTTACTTCCGGGCATGATGTATAGTTCGCCGGTTTAAGACGGGGGCTTGTTTTCTTAGTATATTGATGCAAGAGCACTGGAAGCTACGGTGCTATAGCCTTGCTTCTTATTACTACTATCTAATTTCCCTTGGGCGCTTGGTTCTCAGTGCACTGATGCAAGAGTATTGAAAATTATGGTTTTAGAGTATTGCGCCTCATGATCTCCTTTCTCTCACCATCATGGCTCCTATCGAAGCATTTTGTATATATATATGTTCTAGTTTTGGTTTAATTGAGGGTCAACGATTCATAGGTCTCCTAAATTTGCTAGGTCTCAAGAAATCCTAGTAAACTTAAAGAGCAGGCCAGATCAATTTTAGACGGTAACTCAAATTTGATGCAATCTGAAGCTGCAACGTTTCTTGCGAACAATGAGAAAAAGGAGGAAGCTACGGTGAAGGCAGAGGAAAACCCACAAGAAAGAAGGCCGGCCTTAAACCGTAAGCGGGCTAGGTTTTCTTTAGAATCTGATGCTAGGTAATGCTTATTATAAGTGAATTTTGCCTACTTTTTTTTTTTTTTTTTTTTTTTGTGCGAACAAAAGTAAAATTTTGGCGAACTTTTATGATATCTTCTTCTAATAGACAACCTCCTGTGAGCTTGGAACCAAAAATTGACATTAAACAATTGAAAGACCCAGAGGAGTTCTTTTTGGCCTACGAAAGGCTCGAAAGTAAGTTGTTCTTATGCTCCTTTTTCGGCACAAATTTCAGATGCATAAAGGTTTGTGTCATTATTTTCTTCCCATTTTGTCATTGACCCACAGATGCCACAAGAGAAATTCGAAAACAGACGGGAGCAGTTTTGAAGGACTTGAACCTACAAAATCCATCCACGAATATACGCCATCGTAGACCAGGAATTCTTGGGTATAATCACTAACATGCTATATTATTAACAAATTTTTGTGTCTTTTCTTTGAAGCATCATGTTTTCTTTTGGTTGAGAATTCAAAATCTTGTTGTGCACGCAGGAGGTCTGTCAGGTACAAGCATCAATATTCGTCAATAAAATCTGAAAATGATCAGAATGTAGAACCCTCGCAAGTGACATTTGAATCAGGTAATATCAGTGTATCAATACCGGGCACAGAAAAAGATTCAAGGCCTATAATTAACTCAGAAAATAAAACTGATGAAGATGTATCCTTTGAGGATGAGGAGGGGGGGGGGGGGGGGGAGGAGTTCTTTGGTAAGTAATTTATATTGTAGATCAAAATGCAACCTTCTGCATGCATCTTGGTTCAGTTGATTTTACTTTTTATCTATATCATATACTTTCATTTTCTCCCTCTTTTCCTTTTCATTTCGCACTGTCCCTGTTAACACTAAAGGTCAGTCCCCATCGTCCCTCTTTGCTGCCGTGATCCTTTTTTTCTTTGTAGCTTCAATAGCCAAGGTAGAGAACAAAGTGGATAAAATTTTGGATGAATTACTCTCTGCTAATTGTGAAGATCTAGAAGGCGATCGAGCTATCAACATGTTACAGGAAAGCTTGCAGATTAAACCCATTAATTTAGAGAAATTAAACCTTCCAGATTTAGAAGCCACTCGAACAGTGAATTTGAAATCTTCGACAGGCAATCTGCCAAAGCGTAGTTTCAGTGTGGACAATCAGTTACAAATGTTAGAAACTCTGAAATCTAAGCAGGATGATGAAAATTCGGTTCTTTGTACGCCACCCTCAATGAGAAGTCCACTGGCATCATTATCAGCCCTGAATGGACAAATTTTGCTTTCAAAGTCATCATGTGTTCCATTTTCAGCTCAGGACATTGACCAATCACCAGCAAGAAATCCTTCCCTTTTTGAACTCAGTAATCACTTGTCGGATGCAGTTGGTATTGCAGAGCAGTCAAGTGTTTCTAAATTAAAGTCACTTTTAACCAAAGATGGGGGGGCTGTAGCTAATGGAATCAAGTCGCCCAAAGTCCTTATTGGAGATGCTGATTCCATATGTAAAATATCTTCGAGTAATGTTTCAAAAGTATACCAAGTTGGCGGCTTTGCTGCCTTAAGTGGAACTCAAGCTTGCATGGAAGCTAAGGATATTAGTGGCAGCTGTGCAGAAGTGGAAGCAAATGAGAAATTGAGTTGTTTCGAAGCTCAAGAAGATGCTGTGGCTAATGCAACTAATGCGTCCGATGACGAGGTACATATTTTTGTGCCAGTTGATTTATATGTTTTGAAGTTTGATATTACATCGTGTTGTGATAAATTGATAATATGCAGATGGAAGATCACGCAGGATCAGCTTCTGAGCAACCAAGCACATCCAAGGTGGATAGGATCAAAGGGTACCCGGTTGGAATTCAGAGTCAGTTGGGTATGATCACCAATTCCAGAATATCATTAGTTACTCTAGCTGATAATTTATTGTACATTCATGTAAAAAGGAAATTAAAACCTAACGTATGTTACTGCTTATCTTAGTGCTTTTGATGGTTGGACTTTTTTGATAAATTTTGGACAAGTAAGTTTTACTAAATATGTCCGAGAAATGATAATAACTCCGTAAGAAGTACGTCTTGGAGTGTTAAATAAATTTTAGTAGTTGAAGTGTACCACTTCAAGGCTTCACATTTTGTAGGAACTGTATAACGATGGTTTGTTCTTCTGAACAAGATGCACATGCCGACATTTTCAATCATGTTATAATTCTGAATTAGCTTCAGCTTTCTCTATGAAGAACCATTTTCTCTCTTTACAGATTGTACTGCTTTAGATTTTTATGTTGGAAAGGCAGAAATTCGTTCTTGTTGGCTTATGAATTCCCAGAATCCCAGTAGATGGATTAGATGATTTCAGGTTGTGTGTTCTTTATTTTCTAACAGATCAATCAACTGCTACTTGTCCTGAAAATATTGTGGATGGGCCGTTTCGGAGCAGTGGAACAGATCACCTTGATAAGGTAAACCTTTTCTTTCTTCTCTTTTCCTCGCCTTTATTTCCAGTTGCTCATTATTGATGAGTCGAAGTGCTTTGTCAAATTGTGGTATTTTTCATATATGAAGGCTTTCTTTATCGTGGTCACCACTGTCATATGGAAGTACTGTATTCAGTTTCATTACTTGTTTTATCTGGCACGTATTTGTTTTGTTACTCTTACAATTATTAATATTGTCACATTATTATGTCGATGATTGCTCGACTTCCTGTGATATTTTTGTTAATGATACATTGCCTTCTAAAATCTAAAATTAGAAGGAGCCTACCACCACTCGATTAATTTACTTGCCCCCCAACACCACCACCACCATACACAAAAAAAGGGGAAGAAAATGATAAAAACCCTCTTTTTGTTAAATCTACTTGTTACTGATTTTTACTCTCGAGAGAAAATCAAGGTTTTCTTGGGTTATTGTTGGATAACAGGTCAAGCCCAAATCTCGTGCAAGCAAAGAACGCAAAGGCAAAAAGATTTGCGGGAGGCAAAGCCTTGCAGGTATCTAGCCGTATATTTAACCCAAATTTTTATTTCTATACTATTGAGATTTTTCTTTCGAATTCCTTTTTGTAATCTGCCAATCTTGCCAGGGGCTGGAACAACGTGGCAATGTGGGATGAGAAGAAGTACCAGGTTCAAAACACGACCGTTGGAGTACTGGAAAGGTGAAAGGCTGTTGTATGGACGCGTACATGAGAGTAAGTAGACATTTCTTGTTGCATTGTCTTTGAAAACGTTTTTTAATAACTCCATACGTATATGTTTCTCTCAATTCCTTATTTTGTGGTTCTTTTGGACTGAATATTTTGCTGGTCAGCCCTTAATGTGTCACGCCAAAAGCTTTAGTTTTTTCTTGTTCAATTTATGTAAATTACTAAAATAATGAAGGGAGCATTCTTCTATCTCATATTTCGCGTGTTTGTAAATAATTACCGAATCCTTTTTGTTAGGCCTGGCAACAGTAATCGGATTGAAGTATGTGTCTCCAGCAAAAGGCAACGGCCAACCAACTCTGAAGGTGAAGTCTTTAGTCTCTGATAAGTACAAAGATCTCGTTGAGTTAGCAGCTCTCCACTGAGGGTCGTGTAGCTTTTTGGATTTTGCATGTAAATAGAGCATCTAGTCTTGCCTTATACTAAACCAAAAAATTGTACATGGGCTTGGTCTGAATAGAATTCGTCCGTATAGTTCGGTTCGGTGATCGGTTTCGTTGATTTTCGTTCCTTTTTCGAGTTGAGGGATTTTAATATTCAGTCTCTTAATTGAGGGGATATACCAAATCCAATTGGTTTGAGTGATGGTTGTTTTGTGGAGGATTAATATGTTGGTACAGCATTTTCACACCACTACAGCACAAGATCGAAATATGAAATTTCTACCTTTCATTTGGTTGAATGATTCTTAATCTTCCTAGAAACAAACTGCTAGCAATTTGAGCAAGTTCTTGTGAGCATCTGGACTATATTTATTGGTAGGGAATTAGAAAGAAATAGGTTTAGAACTTTGTCGAAACTTGATAATACAAAGTTGGAAGTAATTTTGTTTAAAAAGTTGGAATGCCATCTGAAATATGCAGATGAGTTCATGTCCTAAGATTGAAAATGCTACAGGGATTACATAACCAAGTTGTAGCTTATATAATTGGAGTAATATATGGGATTACCTCTACTGCATGTGTACATTCTTGAACATCAGTACAGAAAATCACAACATATTTACCTTCTCTTTGTTTTTTTTTTGTTTTTTTTGTTTTTCCTTTCTGACTCAAACAATCAGACACTCCCACATAAGAAATGAAAAGAAAAGAAAAGATAAGGAACACAGGTTGAATGCAGATTAGCCTATCCAAACTCACCCAACTCCACAATTAAACCTTCATGACATATGTGTTTAGGCATTGTTGTTTCACAGCCCTCCATGTTTTGATATCATCATCTACCATTGAGATTAGAAAAATGAGCAAACATTGCACTGCCGGAGTGATCATCAATGGGGTTTGGGACCTCTGCCGGTTGCCTGTTCTGTTCTGGCTTCACGGCAGCAGGGCGGTTGTCGGAGTTTGGTGCATCTGTCGAATCGTCGACAGCGGTAGGAGTAGCGGAGGTGGGGGTGACAGGTGCGGTTGCTTCGGGTTTGGTTTCTTCTTCTGCCTTGCCTTTTGAGTACGACTCTTGAAGTTGTAATGCATACTCCAAATTCCACAGCACATCCCCCATGCTTGGCCTATCAACACCATGTTCTGCAAGACACTTCTCTGCTGCTTCTGCAAACTTCTTCATAGACTCAGGACTTATGGCTCCAACTAGAAGAGGATCCATGATCTTTTCCAATGTCCCTTTTCTCTTGTTCTGCATTGCCCAATCAGCCAAGTTCACTTGTTCCCTTGTCAAAGATGGGTTGATTGCCGGCCTTGCACACAAAGCCTCAAGTAGAACAACCCCAAACGAATAAACATCTGATTTCTCTGTCAACTGTTGCCTCCTAAAGTACTCTGGATCCAAGTATCCAAAACTCCCCTTCACTGCAGTACTAACGTGTCCCTGCCCCATTGGCGCATCCTTCGACAGCCCAAAATCCGCAACTTTTGCAGTGAAGTTCTCGTCGAGCAAAATATTGGTTGTTTTGACATCACGGTGAATGATTCCCTGTGCTGATCCTGTGTGCAGGTAATGAAGACCTCGAGCTGATCCGATACAGATCTCGAGCCTTTGCTTCCACGACAACGGAGACAAGTCCTTTCCATACAAGTGATCTCTGAATGGGCCATTTGACATGAACTCATATACCAAGATCATTTCTGAGTTTTCATCACAGTATCCAATCAAAGAAACCAAATGCCTGTGTCTTAGCTTTGAAAGCATTTGAATTTCTGTTTGGAACTCTGTTATGCCTTGTTCTGATTGTGGATTTCCTCTTTTTACAGCAACTTTGGTGCCTTCATCAATCACTCCAAGGTACACATTTCCAAACCCACCAACACCAATTATTGCATTGGAATCAAAGTTCTTGGTGGCTTCTTGCAGCTCTGCCAAAGTGAAGAACCTGCCGAGGCCTAAACCAGTGTTGGTCTTGTGTGAACCATATGAGGTCTTGCTTGTCATAAAGCTTGAATCACCAGCATGTACAGGAAGCAACCATGAAGAGAAACTGTTCCTCTTCTGCCAATCTTGAGGTCTCTTGTGCCATTTCATCACCATCGCACCGAGCCCGACAAACGCCCCAAACATCATTGCGAACCCAACAGCAGCAACCGTGCCACGGTTTGACCCATTTGCAGACTTACCATCCACTCCAAACTCTCCATCCAGACTATTAACAGAATTGCTTATTTTCATTACCTCTAACCCATTTAGAATCGCATTCCTATCACCCGTATCGACGTTCGCTGGACTAATCTGAATTGTCAATCCCTCTACAATGAAGGAAGAATTAATCACAACATCCTGGTAGTATGCAGTTGCCAAAACTCCTAGCTTGTGTGACAAATCCAAGTTGGTTATGGCAGCCTTCCCATTTACATAAACATTGAAATACAGATTGTTTAGAACTTTGCTGACAATGTCACAGAAATGGAAGCGAATTAGATACCCAAATGAGGGATCTGCCTCAAATCTCCATGTGATATTGAAATTTGGTTCCATGGATTGAACATCTCCCATTTGAACTGCACTTGCATAAACACTTGGAGGCGCAATTAACTTCCCAATTTCTTCCAGGCCGTCTTGATATTTGATGCTGTTGGTCTGAACAGCAACATTCTTTCCAGCAGCTAAAGGTTTCCTGTAATCTTCGTCTCTCTCCCATGTCCTCCCAAGAGTGTCATTTCTTGGAGTGATTACAGGACCTCCCATGTTCAGCCTAAACACTGTCTGAAATGCATATTTGCTTAGGCCGTCGACCATCCCGACCGGAGACAGCTCCATGTTGGAGTCGGAGATCATGCCCTCCGGAGCAGAAACGACCTCGATGGCGTTGATGAAAGCAGCTGAATTCTTCATTGGGAGGAACTTGATTGAGAGTTTTGGTTCAGTGATATTAAGTAGAAACTCCTTGAGAACAAATGTGGATTCATTGTTGATGTTGAAGCTGTGAAGCAACACATACTTTTCAGTGACAACCGAAAATTTGGCCTCCAAGAGATCAAAGTCATTGGTTTTAACAGGCAAGAAATGGAGGCGCAGCCAATGCCATCCAGGCTCAGCCATCTGAAAATGGTAAGCAGCTTCTTGGAGGAAGACTCTGGCTGTCAAATCGACGGGGGACGGCGCGTTTGTATCCGGTGGGGCGGCGGCTACCATCTCATCCTTGGCATCTAGGAACTGCAGGGATTGGTCATCAGTTTTGAACACTCTTCCATCAGGGAGTGCACCAAGTTCCTTTGTGGCACCACAGTCAAGGAGAAAGTTGTCTTTAGGAATGAAGGAGGCGCCGGAGCCGGGGCCGGCAGGGCCAAGGGCGAACGCGGGGGCGAACGGGGCGTAAAGGATGAAGCAGAGGAAAACCAGGAGGAAAGCCATCAAAGAAGATGATGACATAAATGGAGAGGAGGAGAAGCTTGAAATTCTCTTCTTTTCTTTGATCTCCATTCCCTCCTGGGTGAGGAGGTCTGAATCAAAAAAGAAAAGAAAGCAACACAAAGCTAAAGGATTTCTAAAAAGGAGTCTCTATTATGGGTTTCCCCAAACCAATTGGTTATTTTTATCCACCATTGATGAGATCACCCAACAATTGGTTGCTGCAACATTTTTGGCCAATTGAAATTCCTTTTTTTAGCTTCACCACCCAAATATTCTTTGAAACAGTCAAAGCCACATCATTCTTCTTCTTCTTTTTATTTTATTTTTTATTCCATTTCAATATTAGTCATACCATTCATTTCAAATTAATTTTTATCAATAATAACAATAATTTTCATACGAAATTATTTAGACCGATTTAAAGTTTTATTGGGAATAAAAGGAAATCTAATAGAGCTATGAAATTATTGATTCATGTAATTATTCCCAACCGTTCTCTTTTCTTGTAAAAAGAAATCACAATTTGATTTCTTTTTATAAGGTATCTCTCAAATATTTATCGATTATAAAAGTGATAGTCGCATTTTTTATCGTATTTTTCACACGAGTTCGGAGTTCGGATGATTGAAGGCTTGAATCTGATGGAATCATAGAATAAAATAGAATATGATCAATATTTTCATAAAAATGAAACTGATAAAAATTAATAGTAGTGGTGTCTCATTACTCAATAAATACAAACCAACATTCATTACAGAAATCAGGCACAGAAAAATAATAGTCGACCACAGTGGTAACAATAATAAGGTAACAAACAATCAAACTTCTTAACCAAAGCCACTATCATATTCATATTATATATAGAATTGACAATAATCAAACTCCAATTAGCACATAGCTGCTGCTGCTGTTGGTGGTGGTGGTGGTGCTGGTGCTGGTGCTGCGCTGCTAAACAAGTTTCTTCATCACTTCTCATTTTTCTCATATTTGGGGAAGCCCTTTCTCACTTGCTTCATTCACAAACCAAACCATAAGAAAAATCTGCCACCATGGAGTACAACCAAACATAATTACTTCTTTTTTGTGTATAATTTTCAGCTATACAAGCTAGGAATTCAATCGAACGACTTGAACTTACCGCAACTTAAACAAGGTAAACCCACACATCAAGCTGAAAATACTGTTGTTCTCAGATTAACGGCAGGAGAGGAGGAGTTCATCATGTTTTCCTGCAAGATGAACAGACAAACAATATTTTATCCATACCGTCTGTCTCTGTTCATATCTTCTAGCCAAACCAAGAATAAAGAACCAACGGTTGATTTACCTAGTACTTATTGGAACTATAGCAGCCCAAAGTGCTCCAGAATAAAGCTAGAGATCACAAAGGGCATAGAAGAAGGCCTGCAAAATATCAAATATCCCCAGTTAGAGATCAGCACATGAGCAACACATAGAAGTTTGGTTCATCGATTGCAGACCTTTGCTTATTGGAATAGGCTCCATCACTTATGCTTGCTTACTTCATTGACCAAAGTTCATCTCTGAATATCTAAAACGAGAAAAGGAAAGAGTCAGAGTTTTACATCAATCTGGATATACATCTTGATATCTACTATTAAGGCAAGGCAAACCCGTTTTGATTTTGAACCTTCTCATCTATTGGTAATCGAGAATAGATGGTACATCTAAACTTACCTACGTGGCTTATTTTGTCGCTGTCCAACATCATCATTTTCAAGTTCTGCAAAGGAGAAAGATCAGTTGTGCCAAAACCATGATGCCATGTGATAAACATAGAAAATCGGTCATATTCATGTACAAAGAGTGACAATCTTACCATTCTGTGAAGGCTTTGCCTCGTTACTGGATTTGTTTGTGTTATTTTCTTTGCTGCGGAGAGTAGAAATGAAGAAGACGTAGTGATTATATGCAGCATAAAAGGACCCCCAAACAAAACATCGCATATGCAGTAAGTATGCGATCAACATGTGTCGAAGAAGATAAAAAAAATAAATAAGCAGTATTTCGCTTCCCTTTCTTTAGTTTGCCTCCATTTTTTTCAGGCTTTTGTTTTTGTACGCCGTTGTATGCTTTCAATATTTTCTCAATGAAAGTTTGGTTATTCATCAAGAATAAAATAAAATAAAATAAATAAGCAATAAAGGAAGTACTGACAAAGCCCACCGGTATTTTAGAAAAGGCACCAATGAACTACGTATCCACAACATAATTCTAAAAAAAACAGAGCATGCAAAGTAAATACTTTATTAGCTTTCCCACAACACCACCAGAGTGCCATAATATGACAATCTAAAATTTGAACTATGACACAGCCTCAGTGAGACAATTTCGGCATCAAGAGTTATCAAACCAAATACAATTTACTAACCTCAACGTTGCCACAGATGATGTCTGTCCTGAGGGTCGAGCATGATAAGAACCATCAACAGCAATATAAGGCGAACAATATGTAGCTCCCAGAGCCCCAGCTGCACCAGCCAAAACTGGTAGCCTGAAGAATATGAAGCTCCTTAAATTAGAACCACTAACCGGCAGCAGGGTGGTGAACTAGATTTTTCAGAAGAATATGGAAGAGAAACTGCATGGAGCCTGATAAAGAGACTTCTTAATCTATTCTATCCCAGCTCATTCAAGTCACACAAAACCAATTAGGCAATGCCATCTAGACAATGAAAAATGTAAGAATCAAAAGCAAGGGTTCACAAATCATTTTATATACAATTGACACTCAAACAACATTTGGTTGGGTATTAACAAATATATTTCACCTCGTTGTTAAAAAATTCCAGTTCACAGTTTATCAAAATATTGCAAGAGCAAGATCAACAGCATCATCCACCCAGAGCACGACAAATTTATGACATGCAATATAACATCCTCAAGAAAATGACATTTAGAAAAAGAATCCACACCATGTCATTTCTGAATTTCCCATGCCAAGTTGAGGCTGGGCAACATATCCTGGAAATGCCATGCCAACTGCAGGAACTCCAATGCCACCAGGATGCTGACCTCCAAATTGCATAACTTTACATATAATCGACGATATAAGTAATAGCACGGATAATAGAGAAATTGAGCAAAATAGAAAGTTTGACAGGAAAATAAAGGAGGAAAAAAGAAAATAATATCTATGTTTTAATACATTTTTAATGGATCGACAAAATTATAACAAAGCAAAACTACTTTTATAGTTCATAAACTCACAGGAACGTTGCACCATACCAAACTAAAAGTAGATTTTAAAAGGAGTGCTATAATCTTGAAACTGATCGAAAGTACAAAGCCTATCCACAAGGAGTAAACCCATACAATTTCCCGTAAAGTTAACAGTAATGTGAAGTAAACTTTACCCGGCAAAAATGCTGGTGTATGAGGAAAGTTCTGATCTCCATGAGTAATATTCATGTTCCCAGAGGTTCCCATAATCTGAGCCCCACTATAAATAAAGGAACCTGCACCAATACCTTGTGCCATACCTTTTCCCTTTCCAACCAAAGCAGTTTTCAATTTGCTTGATTCTGAATAAGAATCTGCCTCTCCAGATCCAGATTCAACTGAGTTAACTGACAAAGCAGTTTTAGGTGGAGATGAAGATTGAGATCCACTATCAGGTCGCTGACCCAACTGCTGGACAGGAACCTGAACAGCAGGTTGAACCCGATTTTGACTAGGAGTTCGTGTTACACCATGTGATTGAGTCGGTAAAGAGACCTTGTTAACTTGGCTATGGAGTGGTGCAGGAGGGTAGCTGGTAGATCCTACACCAGCACCCCTTCCCTGAGGCCTAGATTGGGGAATCTGAGCATTACTGACCACTGAAGAACCAGAATTTGTCTTAGATGAAAGATTTCCTAAAGACGGATTGGTTGAATCATTTATGTAAAGCCTGTCCATAGCAACAGCATCAACTACATGCCTTCCATCCACCATTACACTTGATTGTGGCATAGAGCGACTATCACCATACATATTCTTTTCAGGAAGTCCAGCTTGTACTTCAGTTTTTTCCAGTTTAAGGATGTTTTTACTAGACGTCCCTGAAGGGTAGAAAGGCGGAGAAGCAGAATTCAGGCTTGATGCAAAGACATGTTTCCTAACAGAGACAGGCTCACCTTCTACGTTTGGAGGAGGTGCCGAGGTTCTCCCTGTATGATTGTGTAATGCTCGTTCAGGAGGCTTAACAGATCTGAAGTCATATGCAAAATGGACATGCTGGATGAGTATGTATCCATGAGCTACAACAAAAATTGTTACGAGTAGAGGCTATTAAAATTCATTTGCAATCATTGATTTACTCACTGTTTATCTTGTGAAGGAGAGGATCGGATATTGTTGTCTGTTGTTGATTCATACCGTCTAGGTCCTCTTCCTCTCACAACTTTAGGAGCATCATTTTGGTTATTACTTTTATTGTATGCTCTAGATCTGTTACCTCGAGCATAACCGTGATCCATGCCTCGGCTTTTACCTCGACCTCGTGGATGACCCTTGGAAGTTTTCCTCTAATATGGTAAAAAGAAAAGAACACATTTGAGAGAGAGAGAGAGAGAGAGAGATCATGCTTTTAGTGCTGTAAAAAACAAACCATTACCTCCCCACGATGCCTTTCATGCAAAGTAATTTCTTCAAACTTGTCATGGCCCCATTTCATGTCATCCTTGGACTCCCACAGCCTCCTTCCACCATGCATTCTCCTACGGATTATTTCAGACAAGAAGATAAAGGGATGTGCAGTTAGAAATGGGTTACACCAAAAAGTAGGCTAAGAGATTGAATTAGGAAGGGTGTACAAGAAAATATGCGGGGGGACAATCCAGTTCTAGGAAAAGCAATTATGTCTCATAATCCATCAATTTTTCTCCATCTTCAACAGGAAAACATTTAAGTCCTCATAAATTTCTTAGAAAATTGAAATTAGCATCATGAAATAGATTTCTGAATTTTCCCTGCAAATCTCATAGTAATCCATGTCCAAGAAAGTGATAGAACTGCTCATAACTGCACTGGATCATCAGATCACTCGCCTTTAGTTCAAAACCAAGTCTATTTGACGGAGACATCATTTCATAACCAGGAAAAACAACATAAAGTAGACATTCTATGGATTTATATATGCTGAGAAGTGTCCATTTCTTAAAGAACAGTTTTAGAGCACAATTTTGATCTCATGAATCCAAGAACATAAAATAACTAACGGAACATGCAGATACATTCTAGCTAAGATAAATACTGCAGAAAGTTGAAAATTGAAAAAAAAAAATCTCGTTCTAATGAGTCGAACACCAATTTGTTAAGAATATCCTTAATTATGTTCACAATTTTAGCAACATCATAATGTCCCAAATCATAAAAATAAAAATAAGATAAAATAGCATATGAATGATAGGTTAACCTTCAAAAAATAAAAACTGGACTGGTTTTTGTCCAAACGGGAAAGAGAACAAAAACTATACCTGTGTCGACCACCTGCATTGTCCCTGAACCGATCGTCATGCATATAGAAAGCCCCGGCAGTGGGAACAGCAAAGGGCTCGTTCACCTTCTTCTCCTCACTAAATTCCCCTTCTGGATTCTCCTCGGGCAAATCACTCTGTCCTTCTGCTAACGATCTTCCATCATCGTCCAGCTCCTTCACCGCATTGCCGGAGGCGGCATCCAGTTCTCCATGACCACCCAACTTCCTATCCCTATGCCTCGCCTCATCCTCCTCTTGGCCAACTTCCTCCCCTTCATCAACGTCCTCAACTCCTACAGCAACCTCATCTTCGTCTACTTCTTCACCCAATTCGTCCTCATCGTCATACTCCGCTGCTCCACCCTGTCCATCGGAATCATCCGAATGAATCCCCACCCTCCGGATCGTCCGCTTCCCTTCTCCTCCTTCTCCTTCCCCCTCCTCATCATCGCTTGCCTCCCGCCTCCGCATCGCGAGTAACCGCTTCGCTTCTTCCGGATCACTCTCATAATCAACCTCTTCTTCAGTCGCAGTAGCCATCAATCAACTCCAAAACGGGAAAATTAAAAAATAATAATAATAATAATAAAATACAATCTGAACCCTCACCCTTCTGATCACAATCAGTTCCGAGAAACACAAAACTTCGTCAAGAAATCAAACAACAACAGATCCAAACTCCTCAAGAAGACTTAAAACGGACCGAATAAGAATTCGATAAACCTCGGGAGAACTTGAATTGAAAACTAAAATCCCCATTAGAAGGAAGTGAGAAAAAATCCATAAAATTAGTGATTAAGCACTACAATTGCGGTTGAAATCTAGGGTGTAGCTTCGGCCGGAACCCTAAAATTAAAGACAAGGTGATAGATAGACAGTCTACGGAAATTTTGAGAAAGGACCGAGGCTGGAAAACGATTTCTTAATAAGGAATTGTTGGGAAAAGGGCAATTTGGTAAATGTGACACACTGGGAAAGGTAGAGAAAATGAGATGTGAAAAGCTAACCAATTAGAAACCGCCACGTGAGCATCTTGAATAAGTCTGTACTCAAGTGGGGTCCACTGTTCAATTAAACTAATTTTAAAATTGAGTTATCCACATTACCGGAACGAGAACTACCGGTAAGTACCTTACTAGAGCGAAACGATTCGTGGGCTTGGGCCCGATATGTCGGTTCGGGTCGACCCAATGGACTGCCAAAATTCCTCTCTAAACAAACAAACAAAGGGATGTTGAGTGAAGCAACTTAGGATTGGGTCGCTCACGACCATGCAGCATATGCTCAAACCTCTAGCCCTTATTTAAGAAAAAGATTTTTAGAAAGCGGGGTAAAAGACAACACAACTACTTAAAATAACATATAACTTTTCTCGAGAATCTGGCAACCAGTCATCTCCCTATAGTAGATTGTGAGGTGAATCAGGTTTGGCAGACTTAAACATGATTTCGACAAATAATCATAATACAAAATAATCAGAGGAGGAGTTGACAACTAGTTTCACTCCCCTATAGTATATTCTGAAACATTTTATGTCTACCAAGCATGACATGATTCTGCCGAAAAGTCACACTTAGAAAAAGTAAGAAAGAAATTATACATCATGAAAGTAGTAAAGGAATGCGATAAAATAATACAAGACAAGAGTTTCAACCTGAAATGGGCATACGACCATAAGCAACACGTCTTAGACAAACATAACCGTGACACTAAACTCACTAATCACAACGACAAAACCCACTTCTTTTCAAGAGTGCTACTTCACTTGTCTTGTCGTATGCACCATCATCCCCTTCTCCAACTGCCCCTAGATATACCTGCAAGCCTGCATCATCCCCTCTTAATTGGGCAGAGTTCCATATGGCTAGATTAATCTGACACAATATCTACCACTCAAAAAAGAAAGTGCGAAGAGATCTGAAAATATTATTACTCAAGTAAACAATACATAGTTATGAGAAATAGAATTGGGATCGAAGGTTTAATATTCATTGATATTCACAACGTATAAATTAGGATACAAGATACTAACTACTTACAAATAAAGAAAATATAAACTAACAAAATCTTAAAAATAAAATAAAATATACTGCTAATCAAATAAAAATATTAAAATATTTCGAATATATTCTATAACTAAGATATTATCCAAATATTAAATGATTACGAATGTCTTGATTAATTCAAACCAGCAATAAATTGCACTAAATTCTAAAAGTCTCCGTTAGTGCAAGCTTATTTCTTAATAACTCCAAGAGCCTTACGAAAAACTTCAAACTTCACTTTAGCAGGTGTCTTAGTAAATATGTCTGCAACTTGCTCATTAGTATATATTTTCTGCAATTCAACATCATGCGACAACACTTTCTTCTCGTTCTGCATCTTTGTATATCCGACAACTATCAAGTAGTGCACCCCAAACTATTACATTAGGCTGCATAGGCATAGAGTTAATCCAAGACTCGGCTTGATCAAGACGCCCGACACGACTAAGCAGATCGACCACACACCCATAGTGCTCAACCTTAGGAGTAAACCATAAACTTCAGCCATCATGTCAAAATACTTCAGCCCCTTATCAACCAATCCAGCATGAAGGAAATATCATTTGGCTTTAAACCATCCTCTTCAATCATTTCATCAAAGAAATTGAATGCTTCATCTGCATAGCCATACATAGCCAACCCCAAAATTATTATACTCCATTAGGTCACATCTCTTGACCTCTAATATGCATCCACGTTTTGCCAACATGTATCTCATTTAAGTACGGTATAATAGAAAGGGTTTTTCAGAATTCCTTGTCTCCTTGTCTCTCCCCTCTCGACATCTCCTTCACAATTTCGTGAGTGTTATTCTCATAAATTGGTATCAGAGCGAGCTTTTAATTTCAACAAATTGGTATCAGAGACGATGGCGAATATGATGGGACAAATGCCACTACCGCGATTAATGAAGATGAACTACGAGAATTGGAGGATTCAAATGAAAGCTCTTCTCGATTCTCAAGACGGATGGGAGCTCTTCTCAGACCTAGCGACATTCTCATTCTGTGCATATCCAGCTATCATTGCGTTCCAAGAAACCACATTCCTCATTGGCATATTCTCAAACAGATGGCGTGCTTCTTCTAAATTGCCTATCCTTGCATAGCCACTGATCATCGTCCACCAGGACACAAAGTTTTTCTCCATCATCCCATCAAAAACCTCCTATTTGAACTGTGCTCGATCTGCTCGAATTCTCAAAACTCCTAATTTCTTGAGAAACGAAGCATAATCATGGTCGGACTCATATGCTCGATCGCGATCTTGAGAAAGTTTGTGCAGTTCTTGAACACGATCTTCCTCAGAAGCTGAGAGCTCAAGCACCTGCTGTTGGGGTTCTTCAAGCTTTGCAGCTTCTGATTCCTGCAATTTAGCTTAATATGCCCTGACTTTCCACAATGATGACACGCCACTTTCACCCAACAATCTCGTTTAAAATGGCCAGATTTTCCACACTTGTAACAAGCTTTAAACAGCTTTTTTTGATGACTCCTCACTTCAAAATTGATTCCCATGACTTGATGAAGGCTTTGAATGAAAATTCTATCTCCTTTAATCTTTGACATACAACAAATCTTCTGACTTTGGAGAAAGCTCATTGCTGCTAGTCATTTGCTTAATCAAACCTTCCTGATTAGAAAGTAAATTCTCCCGTTCAATAACTGTGGGCTTTGCTCACCCTTGTATTGAAGAAATAAAGGGCATAAAGTCTTTTTGTAATCCGCGAATAAGATAACGCCATAATCGAGCATCACTCACTGGCTCCTCAGCATCTAATTCTGAAATTTCAGAACACAGATTTTTCACTTTCAAGAAATATTCTTCAACAGAAAACTTACCTTGAGTTATCACAGCTAGTTCATTCTCTAGAAATTACACGAGCTGTATTTTCTTAGTGAACAACTTTTGAAGTGTTTCTCAAACTTGCTTTGGTGACTTTAAATCACAAACATGATCAATATACTGTTGGGTTTTATGTCCTAAAACTCATAGTTTGTAAACAAAAACATATTCTATTTTCAATAAAGTTATTGTTGTTGTTTATTCAATAAAAATTGTTATTGAATAAAGTGAACTTTACGATTATTAATCTAAATCCAATAAACTAAGAACACTCTGAGTATAGTATGATTACTTGAACTATATGTAGAGACGTAAGAGTGGATCAAGTTCAAGTTTATTGGATTTACAATTATTAATCTAAACCCAATAAACTAAGAACCCTCTGACTATAGTATGATTACTTGAACTATATGTAGAGACATAAGAGTGGATCAAGTTCAAGCATATAGTCAAAATGATCTATAGTATTCTGGGGACCTTATTCTGGGGACACTATGGATGTGGCCCACTTTTGTATATGATATAAACAATGTGATCACTAAATTGTATATGTGGAGACATGTGAGTGGGGGCGTTCTATGCAATGATTATTGCATAAGATCGGACCATGAAGAAAATCACTCTCACTTTATAATGTCGTTTACTGTTGAGACTGATTTTCTTTTCATTCGATAACCTAGGTAACTCGATATTAATCTTGAGCTAACCATGAACTCCTGTTTATTTGGAATTATCCTTAGATTTGCATGGGTGAGAGTGGCTCTAGTTCGCCGACTCAATAGGCCTCCCATTTCAGGGGTAAGACTGGGTGAATGATTGGGGACGTGGGGTGCAAGATGGAATTCACTCCTACCCACTTTTAGGGATAAAAGAGAGGTAGTTCTCTTAAGCACTGACTCTAGGTCTTGAACAAGGGCCCCACCCTCTCATTGGCCTGAGAGGGATTCGGTTTACTGGTTGGACCACAAACTAATTGTTCATTAGAGGATAAGTGAGACATGAGGAACAAGAAGTAACTTTAGGAGTAAAACAGAAAATTGACCCAGCTCTAGTTACGAACAACCTGTGAAGTATCGACTTACTAATTATGGTTATAATGGACAAAAATATATCTATAGTGAGAGGAGTGCAACTACTAGGCTATAATGGAGTTTCCTAGTAGTTAACGAATGTTGGTTAACAAGGTTAATGAGTTTAACCGATTAATCTTGGATTGTTGAAGCCCATGATCTATAGGTTTATTAGGTCCCTCTGCTAGCTCATATCGGACTAAACCATAGAACAGTGTGACGAGTGAGTTCAAAGTGTTTGAATTCAAATTAGAGAATATGCGCAACTGCATTTTTGTTTTATTCACGAAAAAACAAAAAGAGAGAATCTAAAATATTTAAATAAGATCTAAATATCTTAATCAAATATGTGCCGGAATGGATTGAGATTGACATTTGAATTAATATTAAATATTAATTAAATAATTTAATTAATCATTTAATATTACTTTAATTTGAAATTTATTATTCAAATTAATTGTTGAATTAAAATAAAGAAAGTCAAAATGTTGACTTCTTTTAAAATCCATGTTAGTAGAATTCTGAAGTGTCAAAATTTGGTTTAACCAAACTTGCATCATGCTTGCCAAATAAACCCCACAAATTTTAGTGAAATTTTGAGTGTCAAAATTTGGTGAACTCAAACTTGCATGCTTCCCACATAATTCCAAACATTTGAGCGGAATTTTAAATGTCAAAATTTGATGATCTCAAATTTGCATGAGCATACAAACATAACTCTGTAAATAGAGGGATCATGGTACATGGAAGGTCTTCCTTGGTGAAAAACCTCTCACAAACACTCTCTTCATATATACAAAATCCCTCCCAAGTTTAGTCACTACCGGATTCCACAATCCCGTTCTAAGGCCGGAGGATAGTGGAGAAGACACTAGTGGTGGTTCGAAACTAGTTCGTGATGAAAAAAGAATTTGAACTACAAAAGGTTAGTATTCAAAC